TTTTTGAAGCGAATGGAGTTTTTAATAAAGAGTGCGTAGTATGTTGTAGAAATTTATGAAGTTAACTTGTAGTAAATCTTAAAAATAAATGCTGCAAAACATTCCATTTTATCTTGAAAATTATTGGAACCTGAAAATTTTCCTTGTAAGCAATTTCAGCGTGTTTGCATAAAGTTTGTTAAAATGTAAGAACCCAATGATATACTTCTTATATTATGTGATTTTTGGGTAAAATTCGTATAGTTACCATTGAACATAATTACTGCGTGTTTCATAATTTCTCTTAAAATGTATACGTTTTTAAATAATTAATGTCAAAAAAAGTATGCTCATTTGAGTTCGTAAATTAATTTTCAAGTGATGGAGATGCAAAAAAAGGTGTCAAGGCCTGACAAATTACTAGTGAGGAAGGGGGAATAAAAAACATCGAAATCGTTTTGCTGAAACTTGTAAATTTTCTTAAAAAATTGCTTATCAACTCCTTTCTATTTCCTCTGTCAATCAAACAAGTTTTGATGTTTTTAGTCCCAACTTCTTCGGTAATGATCCGTAGATTTCGATAACGTTTTTGATATTTCCTTGCTCAAATATAAATTTGCGATTTCTAATATTTAATAATTTTTCATGCATTTTTGTCAGAAATCCTAATTTTTCATATAAGAGTAAAATTTTGGTAAAAGTACCGTACTATATGGTAATGACATACATAATTCTGGTTAATAAAACCAAAATTTACGGTATTTAAACCATTAGTAATTTTTTCGTTCCTATGGTAATGGTTTATTGAAATACTGGTTTTCGAAATTATAGTACTTATTACCACATACTTAATTAAAATTACAAAGCTGAAATAAATATTTACCCGAATAAATGTTTTTTATATCATGATCTAAAGTATCATGATGAAATTACAAAATTTTACCACATTTGCCAAATTTTACAATCATTATAAAACCATGTTTTATTAATTGTTAATTTTAACAAAATCATTACCATAGTGATTCGGTAAGAATTACGGTAGTTTTCGGTGTTCCCATAGAGTCAGAAACACGGTAAGTTTGATCATATTTTGATAGATGGTCTTACTGAATCACTAAAAATTTCAATTTTCATTGCAATACATTTGTTGTAAATGTTGCAAGGATTTTAACATTTAATGAATTGTTTACGAGTAAAATTAAATTAGGATATTTTTTAACGCAATTTAGTAAGTTTGAATCAATCATAAAATTCTTACTTTTATACGTTTAAGTACGAGGCATGAAAATCTTTTAAAATAAAGTCAATTATGAGACACATTTCAGGTTTTGAGAAAAAGAATTACGATTTTTGTTGCCCCTCAATAATACTATATTTCATTTACAAAGGCACAAAAGAAAGGAAAAAGAAATGACTCATAAAGTTTCTAGATGTAAAATTATGTTAAATTTTAAAAAAAAAGAAAACTTTCTTCAGTAACTCACAATTTACAGAACATTTGTAGAAACTCAAGTTCTACAAGTTTTGAAATGAATATAATACCATTTTTATTATCTATAATAAAAGATACCTTTAAGTTCGTTTTAATGCACCCGTATTTTTTTAAGGTGTACTACATTCTTTTTCTTTTCCTTTGCTAATTTAAATGTGAAACTACTTCTTTTTTTATTTTTTTATTTTTGAATCTTAGAAATGTAAATAAATAAACTTGGACAGTCGCCGATAAATCAAATTTGCCAAACGTTGAAACTGATCCTTTTTATGAGTTAATCATAAAAGAATAAAATTAATATTGTAAATTAAAACTGGCGTAAAATACATTTAATTGAATTTTTTTGAAACCCTATACATAGTAAAATAAATTATGAAATTTTCTTTTTAAAAAATTTGGTAACATTACCGTACTACGGTAATGATATTTCGGGTAAAAGAATAACATAATTCTGGTAATAAAACCAAAATATACATTGAATTAATGATTTGGTAATTTTTACGTTCGTATCGTAACAGTTTACCGAAAATTTCGGTTTTCAAAATTATAGTTCTTATTACCACACACTTAATAAAAATACAAAATGGAAAATCGAATAAATAGTTTTTATGCCATGTTTTAAGGTATCATGATAAAAATACCCAAATTTTACCACATATAACAAACTTTATCCACATTTGTCAAACCACATTTATTATCCACATTTATCAGACCCTTATCTTTTGTTAATTTCACCAAAAGTCATTATTTAAGCGCTTCGGTAAACAATAGTATGCCTTTTGATGTTCTCATAGAGTCAAAGACAATGAACTTAACCCATATTCTGGTAGTTTTGGCCATACTTTTTTACTTAGCGTTTTATAATCATTTTTGAACAGTTAAAAGACTTCAAATGAAGGTGCGCCGCTTTCTCGCTTGAACAGTACTTTAGTCTTCGAATTTAATAAACGATTCTAATTTGGGTCAGGAGGCAAAATCATTCTCTAAAGATGCAATTGGATTCAGTTCGTCCTACGGAAGTTTTTGAACTGCCCACTAATATGGAGATGAGATGAATTAACGACAAACGAGAAAGTGTGCCGCCCAGTTATTTGTAAATAAGGATTCATGCTTGTTTAATTTATAATGTCTTCTTGTGGAGTTTCGTCCTGTTTTTATGAGATAGTGGTAACTGTTTCGTGAAATGAAATTTATTAAATAAGTTAAATGTAAATACCTTGCACTTTTAATAGACTAGTTTATATTTCGAAAAAAAAAAGGAAACAATCAAAAGTTTCCTTAATACCTTTTGTTTTAAGGATTTTAGAAAAAATTACCGTGTTTCTGGCTCTGAAGGAACACCAAAAAGCTCAGTAATTTTTACAGAAGCGCTTTGATAATGATTTTGGTAAAATTAATCACAAAATATTGTTTTATAGTATGTGATAAAATTCGGCATATGTGGTAAAATTTGATAATTTTATCATGATACTTTAGAGCTTCACATAAAAACCATTTATTTGAATAGACGTGGTTCCGACATATTTTCAACACTGCTTATTTTATTAGAAATTATTATAAAGTGAGAAAAATAATTGACAAATTATGAATAAATAACGCATGATTTAACTGGTTAAAAATTTTCTGGTTAAAAATAAATATTTGCAGCAGGAACTGATCAGTTTTGGAAAATTCAATTCGAAATCAAACTTTTCAAATTCTTTATGTGAGAAAGTTGAATGTGAAATGCCAATGTTTAGATTAACATTTTGAGAAACTTATGCTCAAAATGTTTAGAGTATGAGTGAAATAAGTACAAAACTTATCTGTTCCATTACTTTTGAAGAGATAAAAACAGTTAAAAAATAAGTAAATGTTTTCTTTCTCAAAAAAAATATCAGTTTTGTATGTACAGTAACTCTTCTTAACCCCAATTTTTCTCATTTTTTTTTCTCAAACAAATAAATTCCTATTAACGTATAGGAGATATTTTGGATACTAATAATGAATGAATGATGCATATTTATTACAAATATGCATTACAAGAGGTCATTAAAATAAGGAGATAATTTTAAAATGTTGGAGCTATACTGTGAAAAATTCCGAATCAAATTACAGTATAAAGTACCAGAACTTTGGGTGCATCATCCGCAAACTCCATTTTACCGTAAAATCCATTCTTATCGTAAAATATTATTTATTTTATAGTAAAATATAAGCATAATATTATATAAGAATTTTTGTTCCATTACATGTTCCGGTAAAAATGTACCGGCACCCTGAGTGCCGACATTTTTTTTCCGTGATTGATCCAGAATTTTTTTGCAATGAATTTAGGCTAAGTTATTTTGTAATATTGAAATTACATTATGCTTTAAACATTAGGACTATGTACAATAAGAAAGAAAAGGTTATAACCTTGAATGTTACACTTGCTACGACAATCAACTGAACATTCATGATATTATATAATCACGTACTAAAGTGCCAATCTCAACGGCTCAAAGGGTAATTTGCGTTACCTCCTGTGTTACGGTAATACTGTTTTCGCTTTTTTACTTCTCTTGCACAGACTTTAAAGTTAGAAGTTTGCAGAGGTATTATTATTTTATGCAGAGTTTACAATATCTTTTGTGCAGCTATTACAATACATAAATTTTCAAAGACATAAAATCTCTTTTAATTAAAGTCCTTTCGTTCCTTCAATTTCTTTAGTCAAAAATTCCCCTTTAATTCTTTAGCTTACTACCGTAATTTTTTATTTTTATTCCGTCTTTTGCTTTTAAAGATTGAAATTCAATAGTTATCTACAATTTATTAAATATGTGATGTCTATCATATACAAACATAATATAAAGTAATTAAAAGTTTTATTTTACAACATTTATAATAAATGCTGCTTTGCTTATTTATATGATGTCTTTGTTTATATGATGTACGTTAATTTTAAATTTAACTATATTGAGTTCATTTCAAAACATACTTTATTGAAATTAAAAATGAATGAGAACATTATTAAAATTTCGTTTAATTTTCTGCAGGTTGCTAAACCTAATGCATTATTTACGACTACACTGTAAAAAATCCCGTATCAAATTACTGTATAAAATACAGGCAATTAGAGTGCATCATCCGTAAAATCCCTTTTACCTTAAAATTCATTTTTACTGTGAAATATTATAGCATAATTTTTAATGTAATATTTATTCATTTAGAGTGATTCTGTGATTTTACGATAGCTATTTCTGTAAAAAATTACAGCTTATCAGATTTTTTTTCTCCGTAACATGTACCGGTAACAATGAGTTTTACGGTAAAAACATGGGCACCTTTACTGCAGAATTTTTTACAGCGTAGTCTGTATTCATACATTAGACCTTTTTTATCGTCTCTACTAAAATTATTTGATTTAATCCGGTATTTTTTTAATTTCCAAGATCATTCATGGAATTTTCATTTTCCTGAATAATTTTACATCAAATTTTTAACTAAACTTAACATGAAAATTAATATTACAACACTAATCATAAAAGAAAAAAATAAAACATACCCCTAAATAACAGTTCCTAAATGAAATATGTCCGAAATAGCATTCGTTATGGTCTAAAATCGTAATCGAACACTTTTAAGTGGCTTTACTTGTTTCACAGAGTAAACTTTAATAAGAAAGTCTCCGAGAACCTCTTAAGTAGATCACGTGGGTTTGTAACATCCCTCCACCCTTACTTCACTGTTTTTCTAAACGGAAACACATAAATTAGAGATAAATAGAGTTAGAAATCTATTCTTTCTAATACTATAATGATATAATCGGATGGCGTAAGGCTGGGGGGGTGTTCCATGCGGGGGCGTGATAAACAATATCTGCATAAGTACATGACATAAAAAATGAGGGGAAGATTGTGGTTAATCAAAGAATGAATAATTAGCTTCCGAAACGAGATAATATATTTTTTCCTCGAGTAAATGTTTTTAAATATCAAATTAGAGAAGAGTGGAGTTAATCGTATCGCCTTACATCATTCGTACGAAAGATGCTGATTGAAGCAATCCATATTCACTGAGAAGTTGCATCTTGAGAATCTTGAAGTTGCATCTTGAGTCCAAGTATTGTGGTTTTTCCCATTTTTTTTAAATTGAAGTTTCAAGAATATCTTACTCATGTATTGTCTTTAGTTTAAATTACATCTTCTTCAGTTTTACTTTTCGTGGTTAAGATATTTAATTTCTGACCGACTTTCATCGGAAGCAAAGGAGGATGTACAAGATATTTTTTTCAATGCATGTCAGAGGAAAATTGTTATCAGCTATAAAGGGAGGACTCATATGATGGGTTTAAATTATAATTGATTTATTAGCAAAAGTATAAACTGATTTTGATTAACAATATTTGTTTTAACTCGGTAGAAATTAATTTAAACCCGATTCCGAAAATCTTAAAAAAAATATTGAAAACTTAAAATTTTAAATTTTTGAGAATCAAAATGAAATTTTTCGTAAAACTTATAAAAACTTCAAAAAATATAAAAACTCCATTTTTAAGATTTTTATTGAACTTTTATCTGAAATAAAAGAAGATGTACAGGTGCACAAAAAAAATAATAAATAAATACATAAACGGTTCACTCTAAATAACGCTTGATCTAATGATCAGATCTTTGCGTTCTAGGACTCAATCTTAATGGTTCGAGGCAGTGACCTTTAATATGCTAATTAATTAGTGCAGATGATATTTTACGTCACGAAATCACACAAAAACGTAATTTCACTGAATAAACATACTTTTTTTCCAACGGATTTAGATTTCTGACTCTCAAAATATAGGAGGCAACCGCAATCTGGGAACTGGTCCCAATAGTTTGGTCAGGTGGGTTGTCCAAAGTTTGGATTCTTTAATGTTAATTTTGCTTTTTGCGTATTTTGCCATATCTCGAGAACCTTTTAAGCAAATTGAAAAATTTTTGCACACAATAATAAAAATTGTTTATCCAAAGATAATTCTATGCAAAATATAACTTTTAGTAAATATTTATTATTTTCTTTATTATTTTATTTAGTAGAAGTAAAAAGTATTTTTGGTAATTTATTAATGAATTTGCTAATATAGTATTTAAATTTATTAAAAGTATTTTTGGGGTCAGAAATCCGAATCCATCAAAACAAAGATATGTTTATTCAGAGAAAGTAGGTTTTTATGTATGACTTCGTAACTTAAAATATCGTCTGCACTGATTAATTATCATATATGAGGTCACGTTCGAACCTTTAAGATTGAGTCCCAGAACGGGAAAATCCGATCATTTGATCAAAAGTTATTGAGGGTAGTCCATTTTCTATTTCGCGCACTGTACATGATACTTTTTCAATGAATGTTAGCTGAAAATTGCTATAAACTATATATAGAGAAAAACTAATCCTTATGATGGCTCTAAGTTTTGAATGATTTATTAGCCGCATACATAAACTGTTTTCAAGATGACTGATGAACAAGCTTTCTTCTTTTTAACTCAATTAAAACTCGATTAAATCGGAAATTCGAAATATTCTACCACTTCCCGTACTATGAATAAACTGAAAATTTTTTGTGCTTCACTTGAGCTAAAAACTCTCGTAAAATGTAATAAATTACAGGTTAGAAGAAACATAAACGTAATCAGAAAAAAAATTGAGGAGGGGATGCTAAGTAAAAACTGCTGAAAATGTAATTAATCACTAACCGCTGTGCCATACATATTTAATAAATTTTATAGTAATTAATTTTCTCTTGATATTACTTTATTACTATCCAACTAGTATAGTAGTAGAACTTTAAATATGTCTTAGAAATTATTTAGTTAAAAAGGAACGACAAATATTGTGTAAAAATATTATAAAACAAGAGGTTTGTCTGTCTGTAATATGTCCGATAAAAATAGATTTTACTATAAAATGTACCGTCACCCTGAATTTCAGAACTTTTTACCTTAATTTGATCCAAAACTTTTAACAGGACAGGAGTAGTGCTGACATCGTTTGTTTGTTTTTTATGAATTTTCCTCATTATTTTGTTGCTTTGCTTTAATTTTTAACAATAGAGTTGTAATAAAACAAAGAAAGCTCTTCGTACAATCTATACTTTACGGGGTAGGCGAGATTCTAGGCGAGAAAAATAATAAACAATTAAATTAAATTATTGTAAGGTTTTTGTATACTAATATTATATTTTTAAGAGTGAATATTTCAACTGAATGTGTACGGGGTAGGCGAGATTCTAGGCGAGAAAAATAATAAACCATTAAAATAAATTATTGTATGGTTTTTGTATACAAATATCATATTTTTAGGAGTGAATATTTCAACTGAATGTGTACGGGGTAGGCGAGATTCCAGACGAGAAAAGTAATAAACAATTAAATTAAATTATTGTAAGGTTTTTGTATACAAATATCATATTTTTAGGAGTGAATATTTCAACTGAATGTGTACGGGGTAGGCGAGATTCTAGGCGAGAAAAATAATAAACACTTAAATTAAATTATTGTAAGATTTTTGTATACAAATATCATATTTTTAGGAGTGAATATTTCAACTGATTGTGTAGTAGGCGAGATTCTAGACGAGAAAAGTAATAAACAATTAAATTAAATTATTGTAAGGTTTTTGTATACAAATATCATATTTTTAGGAGTGAATATTTCAACTGAATGTGTACGGGGTAGGCGAGATTCTAGGCGAGAAAAATAATAAGCACTTAAATTAAATTATTGTAAGATTTTTGTATACAAATATCATATTTTTAGGAGTGAATATTTCAACTGAATGTGTAAAGTAATAGGGAAACGAACGAATTTCAATTGTGGTTAATGTGCGTAGTTGTGAGTTTATCGTTTTTATTTTTAAATGATCTGAGAAACTTCATTTGCCTTTTAATTGTACAAAAGTTTGGGCAGTTTTTGTTCCATTTTTTTCTTTAAAAATATGAAAGAAAAATGCTTTTATTCTTTAATTAAATTAATTAATTTATTTTTATTTAAACAAACAAGTTCAGTTGTTTGCAAAAATACTTTTCCTGTAAAAAATAAAAGCACTTTAAACATAAATTTCAGTTACTATTAATACCTTTATATTGAAGAATATAATAGTTGTATCTATATTATTCTATACTANTTGCTATAAACTATATATAGAGAAAAACTAATCCTTATGATGGCTCTAAGTTTTGAATGATTTATTAGCCGCATACATAAACTGTTTTCAAGATGACTGATGAACAAGCTTTCTTCTTTTTAACTCAATTAAAACTCGATTAAATCGGAAATTCGAAATATTCTACCACTTCCCGTACTATGAATAAACTGAAAATTTTTTGTGCTTCACTTGAGCTAAAAACTCTCGTAAAATGTAATAAATTACAGGTTAGAAGAAACATAAACGTAATCAGAAAAAAAATTGAGGAGGGGATGCTAAGTAAAAACTGCTGAAAATGTAATTAATCACTAACCGCTGTGCCATACATATTTAATAAATTTTATAGTAATTAATTTTCTCTTGATATTACTTTATTACTATCCAACTAGTATAGTAGTAGAACTTTAAATATGTCTTAGAAATTATTTAGTTAAAAAGGAACGACAAATATTGTGTAAAAATATTATAAAACAAGAGGTTTGTCTGTCTGTAATATGTCCGATAAAAATAGATTTTACTATAAAATGTACCGTCACCCTGAATTTCAGAACTTTTTACCTTAATTTGATCCAAAACTTTTAACAGGACAGGAGTAGTGCTGACATCGTTTGTTTGTTTTTTATGAATTTTCCTCATTATTTTGTTGTTTTGCTTTAATTTTTAACAATAGAGTTGTAATAAAACAAAGAAAGCTCTTCGCACAATCCATACTTTACGGGGTAGGCGAGATTCTAGGCGAGAAAAAAAAATAATAAGCACTTAAATTAAATTATTGTAAGGTTTTAGTATACAAATATCATATTTTTAGGAGTGAATATTTCAACTGAATGTGTACGGGGTAGGCAAGATTCTAGGCGAGAAAAATAATAAACACTTAAATTAAATTATTGTAAGATTCTTGTGTACAAATATCATATTTTTAGGAGTGAATATTTCAACTGAATGTGTACGGGGCAGGCAAGATTCTAGGCGAGAAAAATAATAAACACTTAAATTAAATTATTGTAAGATTTTTGTATACAAATATCAAATTTTTAGGAGTAAATATTTCAACTGAATGTGTACGGGGCAGGCAAGATTCTAGGTGAGAAAAATAATAAACACTTAAATTAAATTATTGTAAGATTTTTGTATACAAATATCATATTTTTAGGAGTGAATATTTCAACTGAATGTATAAAGTACTGGGGAAACGAACGAATTTCAATTAAGGTTAATGTGCGTAGTTGTGAGCAACCCATGTATCGTTTTTATTTTTAAATGATCTGAGAAACTTCATTTGCCTTTTAATTATACAAAAGTTTGGGCAGTTTTTGTTCCATTTTTTTCTTTAAAAATATGAAAGAAAAATGCTTTTATTCTTTAATTAAATTAATTAATTTATTTTTATTTTAACGAACAAGTTCAGTTGTTTGCAAAAATACTTTTCCTGTAAAAAATAAAAGCACTTTAAACATAAATTTCAGTTACTATTAATACCTTTATATTGAAGAATATAATAGTTGTATCTATATTATTCTATACTAAATTGGACGACGATATTGGACGA